CTAAACCAAAATTAAATTATACCTCCTTTGAAAGTCTTGTTTTTAGTCTTACGCATCCGACCTGGAAAACTTTGCAGCCAATCTTATTTGTTACAGTGTACCGTGCACCAGGTCCTTATTCAGAATTCTTATCAGAATTCTCTTGAGTTTTTATCAATGTTGGTACTTAAAACAGATAAAGTAATTATCGTAGGTGACTTTAATATTCATGTTGACGATGATATAAATAGCTTTACTGTTGCATTTAACTCTATATTAGATTCTGTTGGTTTCTGTCAGTGTAAATAAACCAACCCACTGCTATAATCACACTCTCGACCTTGTTCTGACTTATGGTATTGAAATTGAGCAACTATTAGTCAAACCGCATAATCCTGCTTTATCCGACCATTTCTTAGTAACTTTGGAAGTACTGTTACTAGACTACAAAGCATTAGTCAAAAGCTCCTGCAGCAGAAACCTATCTGTTAGTGCTATAGCCAAATTGAAGGAAGAGATTCCACCAATACTTAACTCGATAGCATGTCTGCATGTAAGGGAGGAAACTTATACAAAATGTACACCACCCCAAATTGATCATGTTGTTGATAGTGCTACAGATGCGCTGCGAATAAAATTAGACTCTGTTGCTCCTTTGAAAAAGAAGAAAATAAAACAACATAGATTAGCTCCATGGCCTAATGCCGAAACCCGCAAAATAAAGCAAAAGTCGAGACAACTTGAAAGGATATGGCGTTCCACTAAACTTGAAGAATCTCGTTTAATTTGGCATATTACTCTCAATGAATATAAGAAAGCACTGCGTAAAGCAAGAGCAGCTTACTACTCTTCATTAATAGATGAGAATAAGAATAATGCAAGATTTATTTTCAGCACTGTAGTCAGGCTGACAGAAAGCCATAGCTCGATTGAGCCTTCTATTCCCATAGCACACACAGTATAGTGTTATCACTAGATAGTAAACTAGAATGCTTTTCAGCCATTAACCTTGAACAATTAAATTCAATGATTCTCTCTTCTAAACCATCAACGTGCATGTTAGACCCAATTCCAACTAAGCTGTTGAAGGAAGTTTTTCCATTAATTAGCACTTCTTTATTAAATATTATGAATATGTCTTTATTATCAGGCTATGTTCCACAATCATTCAAAGTAGCAGTGATAAAACCGCTTCTTAAAAAGCACAACCTCGATCCAGAGGTTTTAGCCAACTATAGACCTATTTCTAATCTTCCGTTCCTCTCAAAAATTATTGAGAAAGCGCTCGCAAAACAGCTGTGTGATTACTTAAAAAACAATGATTTATTTGAAGATTTTCAGTCTGGCTTTAGAACACATCATAGCACAGAGACAGCTCTGGTTAAAGTCACAAATGACATTCTAATAGCCTCAGACAAGGGACTTGTCTCTATTCTTGTTTTGCTCGATCTCAGTGCTGCATTTGATACTATCGACCATGATATCTTATTGCAAAGACTAGAGCACTTAGTTGGCATACAGGGAACTGCTTTAGGCTGGTTTACAGTACAGTAGGTCCTATCTATCTGAACGCTCTCAGTTTGTACGTGTCAACATTAGGCAATATTATAAGGAATCATTCTGTAAACTTTCATTGTTATGCAGATGATACTCAACTATATTTATCAATCAAGCCTGATGAAATTAATCATCTAAATAAAATTCAAGACTGCCTCAAGGACTTAAAAACTTGGATGACCTTACATTTTTTGATGTTAAACACGACCAAAACTGAAGTTATTGTACTTGGCCCGAAGAATCTACGAAACAAATTATCTAAAGATATACTAACTATGGATGGCATTAATTTGGCCTCCAGTGAGACTGTAAGGAATCTTGGTGTTATATTTGATCAGGATTTATCCTTTAACGCCCACATAAAATCAATTTCAAGGACCGCCTACTTCCATCTACGTAACATTGCAAAAATCAGGCATATCTTGCCTCAAAACGATGCAGAGAAACTAGTCCATGCATTTGTTACTTCAAGGCTGGATTATTGTAACTCCTTATTATCAGGGTGTACCAAGAAGTCAGTCAAGTCGCTTCAGCTGATTCAAAATGCTGCAGCTCGTGTACTAACCAGAGTTAAGAAAAGGGACCACATTACCCTGTTCTGGCTCCCTATAGAACACAGGATAGAATTTAAAATTCTTCTTCTCGCCTACAAAGCCCTTAATGGGCAGGCGCCATCTTACCTTAAATAACTCATTATACCCTACTGTCCTACTAGGGCATTGCGTTCCAATAATGCAGGGTTGTTCCTAGTCTCTAAAAGTACAATGGGTGCCAGAGCCTTTTCTTATCAAGCTCCACATTTGTGGAATCAGCTTCCAGTTTGTGTTCGGGCGGCAGACACCCTATCCGTTTTTAAGAGTGCGCTTAAGACCTTCCTTTTTGATAGAGCTTATAGTTAGGGCTGATTAGATTCAGCCCCTAGTTTTGCTGATATAGGCTTAGTTTGTCGGGGGACATCTTACTTCTTCCTTCTCTCTGTCTATACCTGTGTACTCATGTTCCGATTAACCCAGCTTCCCTAAATGTCTTTCTTTTTGGTGTCTATATACGCCGGGATCCGGAGACATGGATGATCCTGCGGTCCTGTGTCCTGGATCGCGAGCCCTGGATCTTGAGTCGTGGCTGTGGTCCTGGATCATAGGTCCTGGATGGATATCCTAGTGGATTCATCTTCCTATTATACACACATGCATTTCCAAACATTTGGACTACCTATGTTGCAAATGTATTATCTTTTCAATTTACACACGGCATCTATTGCACGTCTGTCCGTTCTGGGAGAGAGATCCCTCCTCTGTTGCTCTCCCTGAGGTTTCTCTCATTTTTCCCTTTAAACTGTGGGTTTTCTCCCTAGGTTTTTTCCTTGTACGATGTGAGGGTCTAAGGACAGAGGGTGTCGTATTGTCATACTGATATTCTGTACACACTGTGAAGACCACTGAGACAAATGTAACATTTGTGATATTGGGCTATATAAATAAACATTGATTGATTGAAGAGAAATTGAAGATGTTGTTTAATTGCTGATATATTTATGATCCACGTCACATATTCAGTTTCCGTGGCAGTTCTTCCAGTTTGTCCAGAAGTCTTCTAATCAGGGCTCTATAAATAGAGAACTATGGCAGATGTGTAATATTTAATGCAGCCGAACCGTGTATTACAATGCCGTTATGTGGTGACTTTCAAAGAGAAAAGCAAGCACACTCGGAATAAAGTATTATTTTCCTTTTTAAAAAAAATGTTTTTCGGATTTCATATCGCATAAACACCATATCCCAACGTGCATTGCGGCTAAACAATCCAATCACCGAGCTTCTAGCTGAGGATCTTGGGTAATCAGTTCAATGGGTTAGTGGTGTGTATCACAATGATGCTCGAAATGTCCCTTATAGGCCTACGTCTGTTTTCGGTGACTTTATTTTGAAATTCAGTTCCTGAGGAACGGCTAAAAAGCCAGAGATTATAGAATTAAACTAATAAATAAAGACAAGGATAATTGTGTGTTATTGTTGAGTAAATAACAGTGTGTTATTTAGAAAAGAATAACAAATTAGAAGAAAAAAAAGATTTAAAAAATGCAGATTTCAGTATTTTGAGGCTGAGCCCCATTTCTTTTCCTCACAGACGGCAAAAAAAGTCCGACATTATACGATTTAAAATAAAAACAATAATCGTGGCTTGATATTGAGTAAGAACATGTTTTTATGAACCACACAGCTTCCGGTCTTCCAAAACCCGACCGGACAAAAAGACGTGTTGCAGGCACGACACATACTACCAATAGAAATACATTGCTTTTAAAATCGTTCTGTGTGACACGAAAAAAAGGGGAAAATCGTGATGGTGAACATGAATCAATAGATTAAATGTCGTGACTATAACACGAAATGCTGTGAGACTGGGTTGCCACACCATATCCTAGGGGTAAAGTGATGTATTTTCTTTTGTTTACAGAATATCTAATCCCGAGATAGGTGCCTTAAGTAAAACTGGAATATATATATTTTAGAGAGGAAAGTGTCTCCTGATGGACAAAAAGCTTCTCTTGGTGCTCAAGTTATGCTAACCGCTAACTGCTGCTAACAGGGCTAGCAGGTTAACTATCACTTGGTGGGGGGGGGGGAATATTTTGCAGTGTATTCGCTTTCTTGCCAAGAGTTAGATGATAAGATTGATACTATTCTCAGCCTAGCTAGCTCTTTACTCTTGTTCCCAGTATTTTTTTTCTAAGCTAAGCTAACTGTCTGCAATGTTTGAAGTTAGGTGCTGGATTCATTATTGGCCAGCAGCAGTGACTTCCACACTGAAGGTTTAAATGTAGCATTAACACAATAGTGGTATTGAAGTGGAAGATATCAGATTCTTGTCAAAACATTTAGTGATTAAAAACAAGATGGACTGTGGTGGTGAACACATATCCATGAACTTGGCTGCCTTAATATTGTGTGTATTGTTTTCTCACATTAGAAACACCATCACCAAGTTTTACATGCAGTCACCACCACCACCATGCAAAGACAAAATCCCAATCACGTCCAAAACAAAGTCCTTGCCTCGAGAGCTTACCCGCAGTGGTACCTGCCGCCATGGTGGCAGCCACAGGAGACTGGCGCTTACTCACTTTGGACATAAATTTGAACAGAATACCATCTCGTGCCATGGCAAAGAGAATGCGTGGCAGAGGGAACATGGAGCCCAACAGGCTAGGGAGAAGAGGGTTCATGGTTAAGTTGAGGGCATTCTGGGGAAAAAAACATGACACCTGCACAACCGTGAAAGAACAACATGTAGATATGGAGGGAAAACCTCAGAATAACTGGATCATTTGAAAAAGGAGTGATAAAGGGTGGGTCAATTTCTGTAACCAAATTATTATTTGCATCTTTGCTTGTGTCTTTCACAGTTGATTGGTGGAGAAAGATTAGCAGGAGGAATCTCTTTGGTTGCTCCCCATCTCTCACCTGCTACTACACCGGATGTCATAGTGGCAATAAGTGGGGTCTTCGTCTTAGGATTGATTCGGGCTAAGACTTTGAAAAGCACACCATCCTGTGCCATAGCATAGATTACACGAGGCATGGGGAAAATGGAGCCCAGCAGACTGCATGAGACAGCAGAGACATGCAAGACCAACACGTTAGTCAAAAAGCCCCAAAACACGCACATGTACACCAACAATCACATCATCAAAGCTTCAGAGCATGCATAAAGTCAATAAAGTGTCTTTCTTCCCTTTTGGCATTTAGTCATCACTAATTAGTTATCAAAACTTTGATATATGCATTAGAATAGATCAAACTCTGCTTCTAAGGTTAAAATACATATCACTAATGTCACATTTTCAAGTTTTTAATCGAATTAAGTGAGAGCTGGTTTGGAGTTACATTTATAAGGGTAAATGCCGTTGACTACACCCTTAACATCAATTTCAAACTAACTTATCTGAAACCTTCATTGGTTCTGATCAGATTTAAAGAATGCAGATCATGGGATAAGTAAGTGACTGATATTCATGTTTGTGAAAAGGTTTGGAGATGGAAAACTGAAAGGAAACTGATATAGCAAACCTCAGGGAAGAAAGACATAATTAAGTAACACCAATATATTTGTATAGACAACCTTATGTATATATGACACTTAAATTATACATAGTAAATTACAAACACATGCAGGTACTGAAAACAGAGAGAATTAAATGGACAATTCCTGCCATTTTATGTGTATGTCCATAATTGATTGAAGCAATAACTTCCTCAGTGAATGTCGGACCATGAACGGGATTTCGTTGCTGTTAAATCTGTTGTTTTTCCTGAATCCAGTGCTGTCATTTAACGTGACGTAGTTGGAGGAATTAAAAAACTACAGCCTACTTTAGCTTGGATATTTAGTCATCGCTTATGGGAAGCTAGAAATCAGCTAATCGTAGAATACAGCACACACTGAGAAATGCTTTGCTTCATCCGGCTACAATTACCAACAAAAGTGATTGGACATCACCAGAAAATGTTGTGCATTCTCCATTTAAACACTGTGCCTATTATGTCTCATTAGGCAAAATGAATCAATCCAATAATAAGACAGATAGACAGAGATAAGTGGTCAGAACTTTTGACCACATCTCCTTTACCATTGTCACCAATGTATGGCAAGCACATCAATCAGAAATTAAAGTCATATTATAAATTCTGATTGCTCAGATACAGTAAATCTAGCATCTAAATAACATAAATATGTAGTCCTATTTTAGAACAGCAGATCTAGAGCTTACCTGGTGGAGAGGGCACACAGTGAACCTGCAGCGACCACATATTTGGCAGGGCCCCAGCCCACATACTCAAAAGCCATGGGCAGAGGGCTCTTCTCGTCCAGCAGGTAGTAAGGCATCATCAGTGTGAGCGCAGCCGACACACCGAAGTACGCCAGGAAACACACGGTCAGCGACACCACGATGCCGATGGGAATGGCTTTCTGAGGGTTCCTCACCTCCTCGCCTGTTTCACGCAGAGGCACAAACATCTTTACATTGAGCTTAGATGAAATCAGACTATAACCCAACCTTTCAGTGGCTCACCTGTGGTTGCAATGCAGTCAAATCCGACAAAAGCGTAAAAGCAGGTGGCAGCTCCAGCTAAGGTCCCACTGAACCCGAAAGGCATAAATCCTCCTACTCCATAATCACTGGTCACATTGGTCGTCACCGACACGTTCCTGAAACATCAAACTGAACTCAACACAAAACCAGCCTAAAAGTACATCTGATACTTCACATATAAACCTATACCACAAATGGTTAAGGGTTAATAAATTACCGTTTAACTATGGTGACATTTATGAGGGATTCTTCAGATATCTTCCAGTTCGCCGAATCTCCTTTGACAAAACCAGAAATGATGACGAACAACAGTACAAGCACGTTGACTGAAGTGAAGACTTTGTTGACCCAGGCTGACTCCTTCACCCCAAACGACAGGAGTCCTGGGACAAACAAAAAGGCAAAATAGCTCAATTTGATCTTTTAATGTCCAGTAGTTACAAAGTGGGTCATCATTATTATTCTTATAAATAATTTGGAGTTTCACAATATAACGGTATGGATAACACTAACACCCACCAATGTCACGCCACTATTTTAAAGGAGAATTGTGCAACGAGATGTAAATAGATGATTGTGGGGTGTTTCAGACCAGAGCTAAATGGAGAGATGTACAAACCTCTATTTTCTTTACGTTTTCACAAAAACAGGACCATTTTTAAATCTGGTTAAGATAAACAAATATTGCATAAACCCTTCAACTGTGGACTTTGACAAACAACCAAACACTAGCGCATTGTTAGGTCACACCGACCATTTTTTTTAGCCTGAGGGTCAGAAAGGGGGGTTTATCCAAACCATGTTTAAATACCTGGACTGCGATGAATCTGACTACAGGAAATTAATACGAAGTTCTCTCCTCAACTACTGACGATACTGAACCCTGACGTTGCAAAGAAGCTGTAGTTGGACCGGGCTCTTTTCAGATGTGATTGTGTGACTATGGGAAAGAGAAACGAGGTGTTGCTGATACCTAGCAGGGTGATCAGGGAGTTTTTAAAAACAGAAAGGGGTTGAATGTTGTGTCCTAGTGGACTCACATTGCCTTAACCTGTTAAGCAAAAAGTGTCCTGCCATCCCTTAATTGGATTATGAGAGTTCATGAGAGTTGTCTGTGTTGAACAAAATGTAGAAATCTTAATTTATGTCTTTTCTCAGTAGCCTCTGTAGCAACATATCAGAATTTTTGGATTTCAAGGCTTTATTTGCTGCCTCACCAGAAAGCAGCAGTATCAGGCAGACGGCAAAGAAGTCCGGGTACTGAGCCAGACCAGGAGAGTTCATGCTGAAGTACGTCTTACAGAAAACCTCGATGTGGCCTCCTATCATGTCATCAAATGTGCCACTCCAAGCCCTGGCAACTGAGGAGGTACCTGTAAAAAGACAAAAAAGTATCAGCACCATCTTGAAGTTCATTGGACCCAAAGACTGCTACGAACTTACCAATCACATAGGAGAGGATGAGGTTCCACCCAGTGATGAAGGCCCAGATCTCTCCAACAGTCACGTAGCTATAAAGGTAAGCAGAGCCGGTTTTGGGGACGCGCGCACCGAACTCAGCGTAACACAGACCGGCCATAACGGATGCTAAGGCAGCGATTAGGAAGGAGATCACTATACTGGGGCCAGAGTCACCTTTGGCCACCTCTCCGGCCAGGATGTAGACACCGGCGCCTAGAGTGCTGCCAACTCCCAGGGCGATGAGGTCGACGGTTCCTAGGCAGCGGCACAACTTGGAGTCCTCCAGGTTGTTCATGTCAACCACTTTCCTGCGCACCAGGGAGCGGCTGAACGACAGAACCTGCTCCAGCATGTTGACACCTGCTGACAGATGGAAAGAGAGAAGAAAAGATTGAAAATACCTGTGAAGCAGAGGTCTGGCATAACGACGCTATACTTCTAGCCAAACATTTCAAGATTAATATAATTCAAACTGTGCAGAATTTGAGAAGAAATAGTTTGATCTCACCCAATCATCACTAATATTCTTTATCCTAGCATCAATTCTTGCACATTCAATAGAAGGAACACAATCCGTAAAACCAAAGGTCAGGTGTGAGGACTTGAGCTCCACCTGCTTTGCATTTGCAGCTCATAGAAAGTGTTCTTTTGCAAACAAAGGCTGAAAGGTTCGTTGTATAACATGTTGAGTAAAAGTTGGGATTGCTTTAGAACTATTGAGACAGATGTTAAGCAGGGGCGGCGGGTACTGCAGGCTAAGCCTTCCCAAATATTTGTGTCACTGCATGCAAGAAAAATATAATGTATAATGTTTGTGTCTTTGACATTAGCGCTGCTATGCAGCCAACTGTGCCCTGTACTACGAAGCCAGTTCAACAGACCCTGGATACGTTTGAGTTATGATATCTTAACTAACCCTAACAAACGCGCTCTCGCTAAACGGTCATACGACGCTGGTTATCAACTCGGTAAATCAAGCCAGGGTTTCTCTCTCGAGCTGAGAGCGCGGTCGCGTGAAAGGGGCGTGGTTAGCAACATTTAGCAGCGTCATACTTCATTAATGAAAAGTAAACTGATATTAGACAAATATGAACTTTAAACATCCATGATTTAAACATATAATCCAGGATACAAGCCATAGCTGCACCTGTAAGGTGAATACAGCTGGTAAAAGAAAAAGTGTCTGAATGCGCACATTAACAGTTGTATGATATCACTGCCCCGTCTAAAACACGATCTGACTTTAATTACATTTGAGTGTTTCGTCAAACTTAATGTAGGCCTATTGCTTAAAATAATACTTCTGCATACAGTATGTGACACTGTAAGTGTTGCACGGCCAGATACGGCTCGAGAAGCTGACTCAGATAAGGACATATATGATAGATTATGATATTATATGATCGATGATCTGATTGATGATGTGATATGAATGATAAGTGTGACACGTCGGCGTCTTCTCTTCATACGGCAGTTTAAACTGTATTTCCTTTATACTTAATAGATGTAAACTCCGCACACTGAGCTCTGATCAGGCGGTGCCCGTGCTTTCACTGAGTTGATCTCTTTTCTATAGACGCCGCGGCCGGAGGCAGGCAGCATCAGGTAAAACAAGTTATTTAGCCTTCCCAAACCTGAGCCTCACGCGCAGTGGCGGCGCCAGGGTATGGCTGGAGTAGGCTACAGCCATACCAAGAAATGGCTTAGCCCTACTTTAGCCCGACCATGACAAATTATGTTAAAGTATGTAAGCATGTTGAGAACACGGATTGCGAAAATCTACCGGTCGTGTCCACAACACACAAACTGATCCTGCTGTAACAACAAGTGCACGTTACTGACACAATATGGTTGAGACCATTCGGGCTTATGCTAGAGGGGTGCAAGGAATAGTCTAAGTAGTGGGGGAGTTTTATACACTAAAGGTGTGGACATTCTCTCGCGTTATAATATCAGCGCGGCCGCGGTCAGATCAAAATGCCTCCGAATGCAATTTGAATAGACCTACAGCCAATCAGAGCAACGAAACGTTGGGTCTGCTGCGTCATGCATTACTGCTGCGTCACGTTCACAGTGAAAAGTCCCCAAACTCGCGCCGAGTAAATTGCAGACAGCAGAATTTCTAGGATTAATTGTATATTTCGGATGGATAGATTTGTTCTTAAACGCCCTCGCATTGAGGTACTAGTCGAACAGGTGCCAGAGTCACACGACCCACCTGAAGAGTGAATAGTGAGTTTTGAATATATTTTTGTAATAATGGGTCATTTGAAAAAGTGTTTTGTATGACAATAGAGACACAGGCCACCTGTTGTGTGCTGTGTCTGTCTCTCTCTGTTTACATGTGTCTCTGTCTCTCTCCCTCACTCTCCCTCTCTCCTTGTCAATTCTATATGCCAACTTTTCTTGTTTCTGCCGCTTCGTAGCATGTTGTAACAACGTGGAATTAGCAGAATAGGCTATTGTATTGTTTAACTCACACCTGTTGCTCTCGATGTAATTTAGCTGATAAAAGGAGACTAATAAAAGCCTCACGCGTGCGTTTCACTGTCAAGGGGTGCGATATAGCGTGTATGTAATTACATTACAAATACTGACTTGAGCCCCACCACTGTATGGGTTAGCCCTACCATAGATTACCCAACAAAAATACTCTGGCGCCGCCACTGCTCACGCGCCTCCTATGATGTTAAGTCTACAAACTATGACGTGCATTTTAGGAATGCTGCCAAGTGCTACATCGTGGTAAAGTTTATACAGTAATGGTGTTCCATTTAAATCTATTGTTTGGGGTTACGGTGCAGATCTAAGTTGTCAAATAACTGCATTCAAAAAGGGACCATGAATGCACCATTGTAACACAATACAGACATTCCAGTATCTCGCTTTGCTAATTACATAATAATAAAACATAATAAGACGAACTGCAGTCCTCTTTGTGTTCATTGTTTCTCTTTTCATTATTAATATTGCTGGGGATCCTGCCTCACATATTTTACATGAATACAATAAGATAAATGAAGAATGAAATATGCCCAGTGAATAGCTCGCTTTTGATGTTGAAGCTTCTTCTTGGAACCAAAATTAAGATTGTCTGTACTGTTAATTAACACTGACAGCCATCCAAAATATGCATTGACCTCCATTTAAAAGTGTGGGGTGGAGATGAGTTATGGCTGTGACAGCTCATTATCATTACAATGAGGGCTGTACAGCGTCTCTTTATAGAATACAGTGAATGAAAAAGTATGACACTTTAGTTTTTGAAACTGACAATACACATTGCATGAGATGCATCAGTATTTCTCTCTCTCTTTAGCCTACATGCATATGTCCAAAAAGGTTCCAGATACCAAAGGAATTTCTTACATACATATAATGCATGTTTTATATTTAACAGTGACATCAACATCTATTACTTTAAAAAGACCTGCATGATCAGGAAAAACAGCTACTGCAGAAGTTTGTTAAATTATAGAATTAGGTAATCTAAATAAAAACACAAGTTTCACTAAAGACATGTGCATACCTGTGTGGATTTGACAAGTTGAGGTTTAGACACTGAAGAGGGACAAAAAAGCCTGTCAGAAGTGTCAGTGCGTTTTTCCAGTTTGCAGAGCAGATCAGCTGCATGTGAAGCGCAGGTAAAGTCGAATAAGATCCACTGCTCCCATGAAGTGCTGCCTGGAAACTCTGCTGTAACTCTATTTCATATGCTGGCATGTACACTGAGCAGAGCAGAACTTTCTTACGCCTCCCCTCACTGTTTCTTCGTAGGATCTGCCCTCGCCTTGCCCCTCTAGAATCCAGCCTTCAGTCCCTCCGCTGCCAGAGAAGTGACGTCCCCTGAGCAGGGAGGCGAAAGGGGAGGAGGGGGCCCCAGGGAGTTAGAATGGGGGGGGGGGATTTCACCTCCATGCTTGAGTTTTGTGGGAGTAAAACTTTGTGCAGACAATATTGCACCATAAGCTCTCACACACAGCATGACAGAGAAGAGAAGGGAAGGATTTTGATGGTAGAATTCATTTTTGTTCTAATGCACATAGATCCCAGTTGCCCAGATGCTAACTGACTGCTGATAAATGGTTAGGCAACGGGCATTGACAAACATTGAGGCAGGCACTTGTGTTTACCCAGAGCAGCCCAGAGGAGTGCTGCTAAAAGCATGGGTGCTGATTGGTCAATGAAGGGTGGACGAGCTTCAGTACCGGGGGGTTAAGTCCCTCTAATGGAAGATGGGTATTGCTCAATGTTCCCTGAGCTATTGGACCCATGGATATTACAAAATCAATAATACAGTTCACAGTGGTACACCACCAAAAAGCTTGGCATTTCCACGGCAACTACAGTTACATGTTTGAACACTTGGAGGAAGAAAAAGTCAAATGTTCCACCAAACACTGCCTGTGAACTACTATTCACGTTGAGTTTGCAGTGGAGATAATTTCTGCCAAGACCAGCTCAAACCAGCTTAAGATCTCAGTGGGAAGGTGGCAGCTGGCTGCTGGAAACACCGTCCAATCCACAGGACGGAGCCTCGACGGCATGACAACAGCCAGCTCTCTCTTAGTTTGTCCATCCAGCCAAGCAGTCTAATATCATGGCCCACCAAACCTTGGCTGCAGGGCCGATTATCTGACCTGCATGCTGATGGGAAAGCGAATGTTTTCCGTACTGGTAGGCAGGCTGGGCACACTACTGTTAGTAGTGGTTGTCTTAAACACACACATAGATCGTTATGAACATGATTACATTCATCAGATGCAACACAAATATCAAGGTCTCCAATGAGAGAGAGCTAAACATTTAAATAACCTGTCTTAATAACCTAATCTTATTTTGCCATTCACGGTTTAAAGAATTGGAAGTGCACTGAGGGTCACAATGCAGTTATCAGTGAAACTTGTTCATCCTAATACCTTCATTATCAATTAATTTTATAATTATTTTAGATTGTTTAATTGTTTTGGTCCATAAAATAGACTGAAAATAGTGAAAAATGTCCATCCCAATTTCTCAAAAGTCCAAGGTTGTCTATAAATGTCTTGTTTGTTCTAGCAAAACCCCAAAACATTTACTTTAATATATTAAACTGAAAAAAGCTTGAAAACTCCAACTTGTGCACTATTTTTGCACAATAAATTACTTAAATAATAATTAAAATAGTTAGTTGTGACATTTTTCTGTATATTGACACGATGACATGACATATGTCCATATACCAGTGATATCACAATGATATGATATCATTGTGATATCACTGGTATACTGTATGGACATATGTCCTTATACCAGTTTTCATTTCTGGAACAATATTAATTTCTGGACCATATATTGAACTGTATCTTGAAGCAAATTTTTATATATCACAGATTTATGTAGCAAACATTTGGAAAAAAACAGTATTACACAAAGGGTTTGCGGTTGTGGACCAGAGATATAGAGGCTTTTGGAATAAACATGGGAGTTTTATCCCATGCAGGTAGGCACTGTAACCATGGAAAGGTTGGAAAGGAGTCACTGGCTCACTGTTGACATGCGCTAATTCTGTGAAGCCAATTGAATGCATTTGCCCTCCGATGGCTGAGTGACCCAGCTTCAAAAACGTGGATATGGTCAACAGATTGAGTGGTGTTTGCCTTTCGGACACCGGGACTGTTCGCTCCAGTTAACACTGTTGTCACCAGGAAATGTTAGAGTGAACAATTACTGATAACAGATCTGAGAAGAACCAAGACAGCAAAGTTACCTAAAGACTAAAAACAGTCAGTCAGGAAGATACTTACACATGATTGTGTCAAGAAGATAAAAATATGTTGGTGTAGGAAAGTCAAAGAAAGACAGGACCACAGGTATCAGTGTAGATCAATGGGAAAAAAGGAAAAGCAAAGGATACAAATTGGTTTAAATGTGTTGGAGTTTTAGCCGTGGTTCACATGATGAATCTAATGTAATGGCACAGAGTCTCTTCATATTACATTTTAAGAACAGTCTGGGGAGTGAGGCCTGAGGACATTACTTGTACTTAGTTGGAGTTAATACCCTTTTTATTAGGTAGGAGGATAGAGAATGATCTAAGGATGCATTTGTCTTATTTGAGGCCTCCATCTCCCTGTGCTTCTAAAAGTGATTTCCTGTCTCTATCTAGGTCAGTGTACAGGCTTTGTACATAAAGAAAGTGCAGGTTATTGTGTAGTCGGTCTAAATAAAACTACTACATTAGCAGACATGTAAATATAATATCATTAGCTTTCATAGTTTAAGAAACTACAGGTCACAGGTTTGGATTTGAGACATTCAGTCAGTAATAGTTTACAGTTTAGTGAATGCCATCAATTTGTTTGCCTTAACTCATTTGAACACAGTAACAGATTCCTTTTAAATATGATCTGTGATGTCCAAGAGTCTTTTGGCCTGCGGGTTAATTGTGGCCTCGAGTTGACTTTAGTCCAAGTCCCATTGGGATACACTCACTTCCAAAAATGAATTCCACAAAGAGAAGGCTAAATTATCTCATCAAACTTGCTGATAAGCGAAGGGGATTTCACAGGTTTGCGACCCTAAATAAGTATTCGGTTTCAAACTGCCCCTGTGCACTCTCATGAATGAATATTTGGGCCTTTTCAATGAGGCAATAACATTTAATAAATACTAACCAGTGATTAAACAGATATCAGTTCAGTCATCAAGGCTGGATCGTCTTCATTGGCACATTATTTGATTGTCATCTGATCTGTGTGATATTATCAGATCTGAATTGGTTTTAATAATCATGAGACAATCAAGTTTTTTTGGTTCTCATTCATGAGTGCAGCGCCGTGAGAGTGGGCATGCAGAAAGGCTGTCGATCACTTCTGCTTAGTTTAACTAACTACCTTTATTGTTTTCTTTTTGTCTACTGTCCCTCAACAGATGGCTGTTCTGCTCACTGGAGTGCGAAATACTGATGAATATAGAAATATGTTTGAAATTTGGTCGCTTGCCAAAACAACAAAAGATGTCAAAAGATTGCAATAAATTGAAAAAGTTCAGTGTGGGTGTGGGGATAAATTGTGTATAAATGTAGTTTAAATCAGGGGTTCCCAATCCCCGGTCCGCAGACCGGTACCGGGCCGCGGAGGTGTTACTGCCGGGCCGCGAAATAGCTGTGAGTTTATCGTAATATTTGCAGAATTATATATAAAAATATTGTATCATAATAATTGTTGCACCTATACCAGTCATATTATTTCATCCAGTAGCCTGGTTAAACTTTCACTAGAAAACTGTTAAAAATGGCTTTTATGATGTTCCGAGGGATTCGGCGGATCCTCTATAGAGCCTATAGGGTCTCAGCCTCTCGTGCGCACGAGAAAGTTACCGGTGCGCCAAGTAGGAAGAGGAGCGCACAGGAGACAACTGTTTCATTGCAGACTGTTATGTTGATGTGGGGAAATGGCAGTGTATACATTATTTGAGATATATTTCAAACTCGGACTTCATTTTAAGGACATGTCGGCCAGGGGTGTAGAGCTATTTGTTTAAGCACCGGATTGGCAAAACAGGAGAGTAAACCAGTCTGCCTTGATCTATGAATTAATGTCCGGGACTCTCGCGGTATCTGCTGCCCGCAGCTGTTTAGAAGGAAAACCTCCTTCACTTCATGAAATGGCTGCAGCATCAGGAGGCAGCGGGACGTGTAACTCCGCCTCTGAGAAGTAAAGCACCAGCGGGTAAAGATGTGCCTTTTTACGCACCACCTTCGCTGTGTTTACCTTCATCAGAACAGCTTAAGAGTGACTGCATGCTGCTACGTGTTAACCACACACACCTCTACAAACATCGAACTGCCCGATTACTCCCCCTTTTATTAGTTTGTTTCAATTAATGTTTCATTTAGTTACACATATGTGATATATCTGAATAACAAAGTGGTCAAAAATCATTTTATTCATTTTTTGGAAACATTTTCATGATCGCTTTTTTCGCTTTACATTTTCATTTATTGTCATTTCCATTCAGTCAGTCATTAAGTGCTATTTAAAATATTAATGTGCTACATATCCACACAAACAAACAAAGTGTGCAATCCAATGAATGTTAATCTAACTGGGTTTTGATAGATAACATATCTCTTTTTCTTCTCTCAATTATTTTATTTCTATTGTGCACTCTAATCAATATTAATCCAACTAATGTTCGTTTATACATTTTAAGAATGGCGTTTATCTTTTTTGAGAATGAGTTCTTATTTGATTTTATTTATTGGGGTCTACAACAGATGATACATATGTTTGTGTCAGTAAATGTGTACTAACAGAGGCGGGGGGGTGTGTGGAAATAACGGGGACAGAGCTGGGTTGCATTACAATAGTCCATTTAGCTTAGGAACCTTCCTAACGGAGTGAAATGACCCGGAAGTACGTCACTGGCAGCCATGATATGTGCCGTTCCAATTCTCCAAATGAAAGGAAAGGAGGTTTCAAACTTCCTTTATAACCTCCTTTAGTTTAGGAACCACTGGACCTCCCTAACCGAAAGGAGAGGAGAAAATGCTACCCCACAATGCATTGCAGCCGCAGCATTTGCCGTCACTCAACAGTCGGCCGTTCACGGAAACAACCGATTATGACCGAGAAATGATATCATGAAAGTTACGGTGCTTATTAAGCATTTTAAAACGTATGTGGTAAGTTGCCAAAGTGCTTTTTTCTGAACGTTCATCAGTATTATAATCAAAAAGAGAAATATGAACGTTAGTTTTTACTGAAATGATCAAATAAAGTCAACATCTCACAGTCTTTACTGAGCTGTGTGGGGGTTGTTCAACTTTTAAAAGATGTTTGAATGGTGATATAC